TTCTACAACTCATGAATTTTTACCCCCACACCAAAATTGTATATTGCGACAATGAACCGTCACTAAATTCAGGAACGATTCATTCACTCTTAAAAAATCATTTTAACGTTGACATTGTAAATTCCCCTCCGCTCCATAGTACATCCAACGGCCAAGTAGAGAGATTCCATAGTACTCTCGCAGAAATTGCCAGATGTTTAAAACTTGAAAAACAATTAGGGGATACGACCGAGTTAATTTTACAAGCTACAATAGAATAAATATAACAGAACAATTCATTCTGTTATAAAGGAAAAGCCAATAAATATAATACATTCATCGCCACCAGAATTTGAAGCAGAAATAAGGGAAAGACTCAATATAGCACAGAAATTACTATTACAAAGACACAACACTGACAGAAAAAACAGAACCTTCCAAGTAGGTGACAAGGTCCTCGTGAAATTAAATAAAAGACTCGGGAATAAGTTAACGCCCTTATTTAAGGAGGTTACTGTAGAAGCCGATCTGGGGACAACGGTTCTTATAAAAGGGAGGGAGGTACATAAGGATAATTTAAGATAAACTATCCCCATGGTACAAATTCTAATATCTAATATCTTTATTAGGATTTGGATTCTATGGCCCCTACTTTTCCTAACGATAACAGCCGGAAAGATTATCGACTACACTAGCTCAGACTACATACCGATAATGGAGTTCAGATATCTTAGACATTCCTCTAATCTGAGCATGTACTCGGAAACTACCGAGGAGACAAATTCTTTAATGATACACTTCCCACAGTCGCACATGAAAAAAATTCTTGAATCAGACATAGGTCATATTAAAACACTTTTAGATACAGTTAACATCCATCATAGACAGACAAGGAGTATAAATATTCTGGGAACAGCTCTGAAGATTGTTGCTGGAACTCCAGACTTTGAAGACTTTGAACAATTAAAATTCAATTAACAAAAACTAAGAGAATCAATTAATAGACAGGCACTAATAAATACTAAAATGCAAGAGAGAATTAATAATTTAACAGAATCTATAAACACTATAGTTAAATTTGCAAAAGAAAAACAGATTGACTCAGGTCACCTTTACGAAACATTACTCGCAAGAAATAGAATTGTAATTTCAGAGCTTGAGACAATAATGTTGTCTATTACACTCGCAAAGATTCAAATAGTAAACCCAGCAATTCTCGATTCGAAAGACCTGAACGAAATTTTAAATGAGCACTCTTCAATTATAACTGTAACAGATTTAATGGAATTAGCCTATGTAAACGTTTTGTTAGACCATAAGATTGTACACTTTATAATTGCACTGCTACGCTCTCTTCAACTTTCTGCAAGGAGTTGCCTTCAGCGACATGCGCACAACAATTACACTCTGGAGGCATTGCACATTGTAGTACTCGTCCCAGTCCCCTTCAGTCATTAGAAGTGATAGATGATGGGATCATCATACTAAATGAGGAAACGGCTACAATAAAAATGAACAGAGGAACAGATCAAATTCTCCATGGCACGTTTTTGCTGACATTCGATGAAGAAATCAACATCAATGGGTCTCTATATAAGAACATGAGAAGCATTGTCCGAAGACGTCCAGGCTCTGCAACATCGACTCTCATTAACATTACTGGTCATCAAGAAATTTTGAGCTTACCTTACCTTCAAAGGCTAAATTTCGAAAACTTACAACACATTGGCAACGTTGAGAAAAAGCTAATAACATTGCCTACGGGGTTCATCGTACTTACTATCATTCTCCTGGTCGCAGGATTCTTCCTTTCCAAAATATATCAAAAATGGACAGCAAATAGGCAACAAACCACTCTCAGAGCTGTCATTGACTCTTTAAGGAAATCAGAAGACGGCCTTCACTTTAATGAGGGAGAAGTTAACACGTCCAATCAGCAATAAGCCAATAATAAGCTAAACGTCTCAAATATCTTTTTGTGCAAGTTCCGAACTCGATCGTTGCACAAAATAATGTTGCAATGATGTTGCAGTCAGCGAATTCCAAGAACCCTTGGGTATGCGGTCAACGTACCATATACGAATCACATGATCCGTTGGCCAAATCGCTGTATCAGCGAATATAGGGCAGGGCTAGCTTCATATAAGAATCCAATTGTAATTTTAGTTTTAGTCTGATTTGAACATTAAACCGGCACAGAACAAAAATACCTTTGTCTTCATTTCGTAAAACTTAAACAAGTGAAGACGAGAAACATTAACTTATATATAGTATTTGAACAGGTAATTTGGTAAAAGACAGAGAGACAGGTAAAAGAGGCAGACTCCAAAATAAATTGCTTGATCTGATGATTGTCCCTATGTTTGAAATACATACTCCTTGGCACCGTCAGTCTTACGACTATAACTAAACATATGTATTAAATATATCTAAATATATATCTAGAGCGTAAAAAATACGAATTGGCCTAATAAACAACAAACTAGAATTATGTGCTCCATCGTGCCTAACTACAACATTCTTATTTGTTAATTATATTTATACACTTTCAGTAACAGCTTTGATGTGGTGCGTGATTGGAAAGACATTCTCTCCGGAGGTGAAAAGCAACGTATGGCTGTGGCGCGTCTATTTTATCACAAGTATTAAATACAATTATTATATTGTTATTGATTATTTATTATTATATATTGCAATTAACTAATACAATTCTTCAAAGGCCACGTTACGCACTTCTTGATGAATGTACCAGTGCGGTTTCCATTGACGTGGAAAACTCAATCTATGAAATTGCCAAGAGCATGGGCATTACGCTACTGACAATAACTCATAGACCAACACTATGGTAAATGGAAACGGATAAATACACCATATACTATACTAATATTTGTGGGTTTTTAGGAAATTCCATACTCATATTCTTGAATTTGATGGTCAAGGAAGCTGGAAGATCAGGCAAATGAACAGCAATGAGAACCAAAAAGAAAAGTTCATTCATTAATATGTATATATATTGAGTATTATTAAGTAAAGAGTGAATAAAAGCTAAATATATATGTTTTTTGATTTGAACGGATTTCTTAAGCACGACGGTCTATGCGAGTCGACATAGTGGTTAATTGTTTATTAATAAATAACAAAATATTATTTTCATACGATATTTTTTATATTTTTTAGAATCGTTTCAATATACAATAAGATTCACAATATCTTCCTAAGTAAAGTATTTTTTTTCTGCATTATTCAAAAACATCAACCATGCGTAGACAACGTCATATATATATACATATTTCTATATATCATACGTCGCGTAATTAATTTATATTCTTATGTATATATATATACATATGTAACAACATATTTTTGTTATTGTCCGGAACTCACAACTAGAGATTTATTGTCAATTGTTTTCAAATATCTTCAAGTGCATATATATTTATGTATGCATATAGGTTACACTTAGTAGTTACTAGTACATAATATCTATACAATAGAGTACAATAACTAAATAACACAATTTAATCGTTTCCAGAGACAAGAAATGGTACATAGTTGATTAGTTCAAAATTTTTTTAAATACATAGGTAGCACAAGTACTTCGGATAAGATCGATATGTTAAATTGACATTTAGTTGATAGATACACATACACATACACACACACATATATATGTGCATATATATATATATATATATATATATATATATATATATATATATATATATATATATATATTTTTTTTTTTTAATTATGTAGCCTTTTCTGAATACATTATTTGTTGCATAAAACAAATGGTATGCTACTGAATAAATTAAATAATAAGAATAGTAAAACATACAGTATAGCCACTCAATTTCTAAAAATATTCCAGATTTTTTTAATTTCTATAGATTTTGTATTTTTTCTTTTCAAATTTTAAGCTTAAATACATTATAAAAAATTATTTAAGATTTTATTTAAAAGACTGTTCGGTAACGTCAATGCATTAAAATTGGCTAAACTGAAAATTTGTAATTATTATTGATTGTTTTCAATTTGTTTCAATTTTAATTTTTAGTTAATACGTTTAAGATCAGGCACAGTTAGATTATAAATGTGTATGTATATTGGCGTTTCTATACCAGTTGTTTGCGTAGATACCTTAAAATGATGATCGCTAGTTAGAAAAGTTAAATAATATCGTATCGTTGACGATCCCATCAAGCCATTTGCTGTCATATTTAAATAATTATTCTCTGGGCTTTTGGAAAACCCTATTCTCAATTGTAGCATGATCTTTTTTATATATTTTTTTTTTTTTTGTATTTCCAGGGATACTTTATTTAGCTTTCTTTGATACCTCTTGTATATTGATGATTGTTTTATATTGGAAGCATTTGATTATTTTCTAATAGGAATTTTATATAGATATGAATATATATGGCGTGCGTATATAATCCAATATTAATCTTCATTCACAGCTCCCATTAAAATAAAATCAAAGTTTTGTTCTAATACTTCGGATTTTTACTTAAGATAATCGTAACTTTAAGATATATGAACATTATTTATACAGTTTTGATATTAATATATATACATTTGCCGGAACATTGGGTATTTTGCTTAAATTTAAAACAAACATAAGTTTTATAGTATAGAATAACATGTGCGTGTCAGTAGTTAAGATTGATAGCATGATAAGAAAATGTACAAATATTTCTTTTTCAGATTCTGCTCCGAAAATGCATTCTTTTTGCATGTGGATAAGTAGAAATGTACATACTGATGTATGATATGTAGGTATATACCATACCGGGCGCTTCAGTAGTTTCTTAAATATGTACTAAAATATATATAACTAATTGGAGCGCCCGGTATATACTATATATACCCATATAACTTTCATGTATATATATATATTTTTTTTTTGTTAAATTGACAACCGTTTTTCCTGTTATAAGTATATTGATGCTAAATCATTTATATTCTGTATTTACATGTTCATATTAAAATAATAGTAAAATTACAATTATATTGTTTAAATATATTTCGGATTAATAATTGTCATACTATATTTGACAAAAAATAGTTTAGTAAGCATCATTGTTGTAAAAGTCCAAGCCATGTTGATTTGATTTTGGAGTTAATCCAGCCTCATTGGCTAGATTGTCATTGTTTAAATAAAACAGGGCATTTATAGCGGGCTTCGTGTCATATTCAATCGAAGTTAATGGACTTAAGTAGTTCTCATTGAAATCTTGTTTCACGTTTGAAATCCCTGTCTGTGGTACAAATTGCAAACTGCTCATTATTCTAGCGTTTCGATGAAAGTATTCATTCGGTGTGGACTGAAAAAAGAAATATAAACATTTTTAAATACAACCATATCATATTTACAATATAAAAAGGTAAGAAAACTCTAGTCGGGGTGCCCGACAAGGAGATACCCTGCTCCTAATCCTATCTGCGTTTTTTATACCCTGATCCCATTGAAAATGGGAAATCAGGGTATTATGGTTTTGTGCAAATGTATGTAACAGGCAGAAGGAGGCGTGGCATACCCCATTAAGTATATATATTCTTGATCAGGACGACAAGCCGAGTCGATTGAGCCCTGTCCGTCTGTCTGTCCGTCCGTCTGTCCGTCCGTCTGACCGTCTGTCCGTATGTGTGAACGCGTGGATCTCAGCATCTATAAGAGCTAGAGACTTGAAATTTGAATTTTTTTTGCTAGGTCGATAACTATTCGCATTTAATTGTTATCGAATAAAAACCTTATTGAAATGCAGTAAATAAATTATATCTCAAACGTCTTAAGAGCTATAGCCCCAAATTTTGTGTTTAGTTTTATGTATATTTTATGCAATTTTGATTTTTGTTGGATTTGGATACCGGCTCCAAATTCCCCCTAATTCATAAAATTTAAGTTTAGTTGGAACTAGAGCCATTATGTGAAAGCGTTTGCATCTCAACCAAGCCAATAGGATATGTAGATCATATGCTGAAAATTTCATTAAAATCCATTAAGTAAAACAGAAGTTATTAAACAAAACGTTTGGCCAATTTGCAAAAGCACATGTCAGCAGCGCAACGCGCACGCATTTTTCCTATGCGTTTGCACACATTCTCGAGACCGGTGGAGATGAAACATTTCTTATTGTTTTATTATTATTGTTTTATTATTATTATTATTATTAATTATGAAGTGGCGGTGTTGGTAGAGTTGGTGCACGTTGCGCAAATAATCCGGGTTCGAAACCTAGTCTCGCAATGTCGATTTTTATTTGTTTTCTTTTTTTTTTGAATACTCGATACAACCTACGGAAAATATTAAAACCTCAGAGGACTGGGATCAGGGTATCTCCTAGTCGGGCACCCCGACTAGAGCTTTCTTACTTGTTTTATATTTTAATTTTTTTAGCGTAGCTTGAATACCGTTATTGTTCACAGTCATTGTGAAGGTTTTTGTAATGAATACAGAGTTTGTTTGTTTTGATTTTGTATACCTCCTCATCCTTACATCCATTACAACTAAATCAATTAAAACCCTGTTTCAAATACTATAGATTTTTATTTTTTTGAATACAAGCATACAAATTCCATTAGTATGCTCTGCACAAAATTTATAATCTTCATGTAACTATCGACATACCGCTACGTAAGCTACGCAGTAAACAGAGCGCATTCATAATAGAATAGAAGAAAGTCGTGTTTTACCATATATTAATATAATTTATTGCATTTTACCTGCTTCAAAAGTGATCGATTCCTTTCCCTAAAATGGGATTGTCGGACTGGATACGTGCGTGGTATACCGATAGATGGCTGATCTTTTTCTTTTGAATCACCTGCATTGACTGCATTGGTTGGTATCCTTATGCGAGAATATATTTTTGGCTGGCCGTCGGCAACGTTGCTAGTAAAATATGTCTCCTTTCTCGTATGTCCAGTAGGTAAAAATCTGTAGGCACTTCCAATGCGACGAGTCGACGGTCGAGGACCACTGTTACTATGATCAGCATGCTCATTGTTGGCATCAAAGTTTTGCACATTTGCGATTGACAATCGTTCGCCGTTTAAATATTGATTGTCGCTGCTATCAGGACTGCGATTCTCATCCATTAGAAGGGAATCTCCTTGATTATTAAAGGGTATCTTATATGACGATTGAATGCTAAATAAAACGTAAGACGTCAAAAGTAAAAGATATGATATATATTTTTCTTTATATACTAAAAGCGCCAGCGGCAAAAAGAAAATAATATTAATTTGATAAATATGTAGATTCATCTGTATCCAAAAAAAGATAAAGACATACTTTTGACCATTTGCGATTTCCTTGAGGACAGCCGCTCGAGCTGCCAATTCTTCCGCTCGGCGCTGTTGAGTCAATTCCTTGGCACGCTCTGTCCAGATAAGTTCCTTTAGCTTTTGAAAGCTGCCGTGTACAGCCACTGAGTTATGGTTTCCAGCTGCATTATTGGCTGCCGAGCTACTTGACACGCCCAAATATCTGTTTTTGCTGGATCTGCGTGGAGAGGGGCCCGCTGCCCCAGCTCCAACTCCAGCTCCAGCACCAATTCCAGACGGGCGTACTTCAGCTCCATATAAGCGGGCCTGGCTAGCTCCATTTGTATTGCCATCCAGATGGCGTTGGCGTTGCTCAAATGAAATCCGTTGTGGTATGATGGGCTCCCGACTTACAACACGTCCAAATACCGGGGATCGAGCACGTTCCCGAGCGCCCATTCGAATTCTACAATGAACACAGATGATTAATTTAGTCAGAATGTTTCGAAGTCAAAGAAACTCACGAGCCGAGCAACCGAGAGTTGGAGTAGAGTGGCTCCCAGACATTATATGTGAAGGGGTCACGATATGTGGGTATTTCATTTGTTATTTCAGCTGCACGGGATTGTCTCTTGGAAAATCTGTGTTTGCAACTTAATTATAACTCGTGTACGAAATTAATATATATATGTATCAAAACTCACATCCACATAGCGCGTAGCTGTTCACATGACGGTTCCTGCGAAGTCATTGAAAATGTCTTTGGAACAAAGACTTCGCCAACGGCTCGCACACCGCCATCCTCTACATTGGAATTGGAATCCTCGTCCTTGACTAACTTATTGCTATCAGCAGTTCTTTGCACTCCAAAGTCGCGACTACGTGCATTTAAGAAGTTGCAATTGCCTTGTGTTAGGTAAAGCATAATTAAAAATATGTATATGTGTATGTACTTATTCTGCAAAGATTGAATAATATTGAGCAAATAAATGTATTAATTTATTAAGTTAATAGAAAACAGTATTGAGGTTCAACAAAAATCTATTCTCTAATTCTAATCTTTATACCCTGATCCCATTAAAAATTGCAAATTTTGTGCAAATGTTTGTAACAGGCAAAAAGAGGCGTGGCAGACCCCATAAAATATATATATTCTTGTCAGGACGACAAGCCGAGTCTATTGAACCGAGTCTATTGTATTTAGTTCTATGTACATTTTCCACAATTTTGATTCTTGTTATATTTTTAATACCGACTCCGAATTTGCCCAAATCCGTTAAATTTAAGTGCAAAAAGGGCATTTTAACTAAACTCTAATAGAATATGTAGATATTGAAAATTTCATTCACATACGTTAAGTAAAACATAAGTTTTTAAACAAAACATTTGGCCAATTTGAAATTTGGCCAAAAAGCACAGTGCAAGCAACGCCACGCCTACGCATTTTTATTATACATGACACATAGATTCAAATGCGTGTATTCCTTTCTATTCGAAGAATTGAAATTGCGATTAAATTGTGCTACTTTAGTTGAGATTTTAAACCTTCTGTTTAAACAGTTTAGGGGCGATGTTAGTAGAGGCGATGCTCGTTGCCGAGAGTTTTTAGGTTCAATGCCAGGAAGTGAAAACACTTTTTTGTTGCGTAGGCAATCCTGGTTCTAATCTTGGTGTCGTAATGCTGCCGGGTTTTATTTGATTTTTTTTTTTAATACTCGATACAAACTACGGAAAATATTAAATCTTAATTGTTTCATTTCCTTTCATTTTTTAAATTATTTCATTTTTTGAATTAGTTTTGAATTTAATTGAATAGTAGACCTAATTCAATGGTTTAAATTCTAACATATTATAAGAGAATGCCTCTAAAATTGTAAGCATATAAATAAATACACTTACCATACTGATATAACAATGCATCTCTGATAATTATCTAATTAGTATCCAGCAATGCGTTTTATGCATATATCGTCGAATAGATATGTATTTTAATATATTGATATTGTCTGCCATTTCGAGATAAGAAAATGGATTAGTACTTTCACAGAGATCACAGTTTCAGCATGCAAAAATATACTTATATATAAATATAAATATATATATATGGGAAATCATAACAACATTATCGTATCGATTATATACTGTAAAAATAACTTTTAAGAATAAGATAAAAAGTAATGTTTTATTGTTTTATTGAGCTCTCGTTCGTTAATTAGAGCTGAGCACATACGTTGAATGGCAAATACACATCCAAAAATTTATACAACAATTTTTTTTCATATTCAATTCGCATTTCATAGATGAAAACTATTTTTAGAATTCTCTTATAAACTTATTATGTGCATTTTTTTATTTAAGAATATTTCTCCTTTGCAAATAAAAGAAAATTAACATACGTAAATATAAAAATATATATATATATATATATTATTTAGACAGATTTAAAATATTTGATATTTTGAAAATTTCTTTATAAACTACTTGGTGCAGGTGCTTGACAAAAACAACTATTGGTGCTCTTATTTGAAACGTGAATTGAATTCAATTGAAAGTTTTATATGTTAAGAATTACTTTTTCTGTAATATTTATAAGCTTTTCCGCTTATTGAGTACGAAATATTTCTCGATAGCTTCATACCACGGATATAGCCGTGGGTATATCTTTGATGCGATGATTTACCATGAGTCGCAGTCATGTTTATATTTTTTCTCTTTTACTGTAGACCAATACACTAGTTTCACTATAGAAAATATAGCAAACCAATATTAAAAATGTGTATAAAACAAATTATAAGTTTTTCTATATAAAATGCATATAAATTTTGGTGTACCATAGCCCTACTCTATAATTTGTACATCTGTATATCTGTATATCTGTATATCTGTATATCTGTATATCTGTATATCTGTATATCTGTATATCTTTATATCTGTATATCTGTATATCTGTATATCTGTATATCTGTATATCTGTATATCTGTATATCTGTATATCTGTATATCTGTATATCTGTATATCTGTATATCTGTATATCTGTATATCTGTATATCTGTATATCTGTACATCTGTATATCTGTATATCTGTATATCTGTATATCTGTATATCTGTATATCTGTATATCTGTATATCTGTATATCTGTATATCTGTATATCTGTATATCTGTATATCTGTATATCTGTATATCTGTATATCTGTATATCTGTATATCTGTATATCTGTATATCTGTATATCTGTATATCTGTATATCTGTATATCTGTATATCTGTATATCTGTATATCTGTATATCTGTATATCTGTATATCTGTATATCTGTATATCTGTATATCTGTATATCTGTATATCTGTATATCTGTATATCTGTATATCTGTATATCTGTATATCTGTATATCTGTATATCTGTATATCGTATATCTGTATATCTGTATATCTGTATATCTGTATATCTGTATATCTGTAGATCTGTTATCTGTATATCTGTATATCTGTATATCTGTATATCTGTATATCTGTATATCTGTATATATGTATATCTGCATATCTGTATAGATGTATATCTGTATATCTGCGTATCTGCATATCTGTATCTCTGTATATCTGTATATCTGTGTATCTGTATATCTGCATGTCCGTATATCTGTATATCTGTATATCTGTATATCTGTATATCTGTATATCTGTATATCTGTATATCTGTATATCTGTATATCTGTATATCTGTATATCTGTATATCTGTATATCTGTATATCTGTATATCTGTATATCTGTATATCTGTGATATCTATATATCTGTATATCCGTATATCTGTATATCTGCATATCTGTATATTCTGTATATCTGTATGTCTGTATATCTGTATATCTGTATATCTGTATATCCATATATCTGTATATCTGTATATCTGTATATCTGTATATCTGTATATCTGTATATCTGTATATCCCTGTATATCTGTATATCTGTATATCTGTATATCTATATATCTGTATATCTGTATATCTGGTATAACTGTATATCTGTATATCTGTATATCTGTATATCTGTATATATGTATATCTGTATATCTGTATATCTGTGTATCTGTATGTCTGTATATCTATATATCTGTATATCTGTATATCTGTATATGTGTATATCTGTGTATCTGTATATCTGTATATCTATATATCTGTATATCTGTATATCTGTATATCTGTATATCTGTATATCTGTATATCTATATATCTGTATATCTGTATATCTGTATATCTGTATATCTGTATATCTGTATATCTGTATATCTATATATCTGTATATCTGTATATCTGTATATCTATATCTGTATATCTGTATATCTGTATATCTGTATATCTGTATATCTGTGTATCTGTATATCTGTATATCTATATATCTGTATATCTGTATATCTGTATATCTGTATATCTGTATATCTGTATATCTGTATATCTGTATATCTGTATATCTGTATATCCGTAATATCTGTATATCTGTATATCTGTATATCTGTATATTGTATATCTGTATATCTGTATATCTGTATATCTTTATATCTGTATATCTGTATATCTGTATATCTGTATATCTGTATATCTGTATATCTGTATATCTGTATATCTGTATATCTGTATATCTGTATATCTGTATATCTGTATATCTGTATATCTGTATATCTGTATATCTGTATATCTGTATATCTGTATATCTGTATATCTGTATATCTGTCTATCTGTATATCTGTATATCTGTATATCTGTATATCTGTATATCTGTATATCTGTATATCTGTATATCTGTATATCTGTATATCTGTATATCATGTATATCTGTATATCTGTATATCTGTATATCTGTATATCTGTATATCTGTATACTCTGTATATCTGTATATCTGATATCTGTATATCTGTATATCTGTATATCTGTATATCTGTATTCTGTATAATCTGTAAATCTGTATATCTGTATATCTGTATATCTAATATACCATATGTATATCTGTATATCTGTATATCTGTATATCTGTATATCTGTATAGTATGTATCTGTATATCTGTATATCTGTATATCTGGTATAATCTGTATATCTGTATATCTGTATATCTGTATATCTGTATATCTGTATATCTGTATATCTGTATATCTGTATATCTGTATATCTGTATATCTGTATATCTGTATATCTGTATATCTGTATATCTGTATATCTGTATATCTATATACCTGTATATCTGTATATCTGTATATATGTATATCTGTATATCTGTATATCTGTATATCTGTATATCTGTATATCTGTATATCTGTATATCTGTATATCTGTATATCTGTATATCTGTATATATGTATATCTGTATATCTGTATATCTGTATATCTGTATATCTGTATATCTGTATATCTGTATATCTGTATATCTGTATATCTGTATATCTGTATATCTGTATATCTGTATATCTGTATATCTGTATATCTGTATATCTGTATATCTGTATATCTGTATATCTGTATATCTGTATATCTGTATATCTATATACCTGTACATCTGTATATCTGTATATCTGTATATCTGTATATCTGTATATCTGTATATCTGTATATCTGTATATATGTATACTGTATATCTGTATATCTGTATATCTGTATATCTGTATATCTCTATACCTGTATATCCGTATTATATCTGTATATCTGTGTAAATGTTTATCTGTGTAAATGTTTATCTGTATATCTGTATATCTGTGTATCTGTATATCTGTATATCTATATATCTGTATATCTGTATATCTGTATATCTGTATATCTGTGTATCTGTATATCTGTATATCTATATATCTGTATATCTGTATATCTGTATATCTGTATATCTGTATATTTGTATATCTGTATATCTGTTTATCTGTATATCTGCATATCTGTATATCTGTATATTTGTATATCTGTGTATCTGTATATCTGTATATCTGTGTATCTGTATATCTGTATTTCTGTATATCTGTATATCTGTATATCTGTATATCTATATACCTGTATATCTGTATATATGTATATCTGTATATCTGTATATCTGTATATCTGTATATCTGTATATCTGTATATCTGTATATCTGTATATCTGTATATCTGTATATCTGTATATCTGTATATCTGTATATCTGTGTATCTGTATATCTGTATATCTGTATATCTGTATATCTGTACATCTGTATATCTGTATATCTGTATATCTGTATATCTGTATATCTGTATATCTGTATATCTGTATATCTGTATATCTGTATATCTGTATATCTGTATATCTGTATATCTGTATATCTGTATATCTGTATATCTGTATATCTGTATATCTGTATATCTGTATATCTGTATATCTGTATATCTGTATATCTGTATATCTGTATATCTGTATATCTGTATATCTATATATCTGTACATCTGTATATCTGTATATCTGTATATCTGTATATCTGTATATCTGTATATCTGTATATCTGTATATCTGTATATCTGTATATCTGTATATCTGTATATCTGTATATCTGTATATCTGTATATCTGTATATCTGTATATCTCTATACCTGTATATCCGTATATCTGTAAATCTGTATATCTGTGTAAATGTTTATCTGTGTAAATGTTTATCTGTATATCTGTATATCTGTGTATCTGTATATCTGTATATCTATATATCTGTATATCTGTATATCTGTATATCTGTATATCTGTATATCTGTATATCTGTATATCTATATATCTGTATATCTGTATATCTGTATATCTGTATATTTGTATATCTGTATATCTCTATATCTGTATATCTGCATATCTGTATATCTGTATATTTGTATATCTGTATATCTGTATATCTGTATATCTGTATATCTGTATCTGTATATCTGTATTTCTGTATATCTGTATATCTGTATATCTGTATATCTGTATATCTGTATATCTGTATATCTGTATATCTGTATATCTGTATATCTGTATATCTGTATATCTGTATATCTGTATATCTGTATATCTGTATATCTGTATATCTGTATATCTGTATATCTGTATATCTGTATATCTGTATATCTGTATATCTGTATATCTGTATATCTGTATATCTGTATATCTGTATATCTGTATATCTGTATATCTGTATATCTGTATATCTGTATATCTGTATATCTGTATATCTGTATATCTGTATATCTGTATATCTGTATATCTGTATATCTGTATATCTGTATATCTGTATATCTGTATATCTGTATATCTGTATATCTGTATATCTGTATATCTGTATATCTGTATATCTGTATATCTGTATATCTGTATATCTGTATATCTGTATATCTGTATATCTGTATATCTGTATATCTGTATATCTGTATATCTGTATATCTGTATATCTGTATATCTGTATATCTGTATATCTGTATATCTGTATATCTGTATATCTGTATATCTGTATATCTGTATATCTGTATATCTGTATATCTGTATATCTGTATATCTGTATATCTGTATATCTGTATATCTGTATATCTGTATATCTGTATATCTGTATATCTGTATATCTGTATATCTGTATATCTGTATATCTGTATATCTGTATATCTGTATATCTGTATATCTGTATATCTGTATATCTGTATATCTGTATATCTGTATATCTGTATATCTGTATATCTGTATATCTGTA